CGGGGCGGGTTGGTTCGGGGCGGGGGGGGTGTAGTACCGGCATGTCCGACCCGTACACGGCGAATTTCCGCTGCCGTGTGGAGAATAATTAGGTGATAATTGCCGCTAAATTATGCATATTCCAGCAACGCACGGAGTGGTGCACGGCCATTTCCTGCCGTGTACTGGGATGTACAGGGATCGTGTCCGGGCATATAACGTCCAGTACACGACCTGCACACAAAAAGTGGTTCATTTCCGGGAGTGTACAGGACATGTACGGGACTGGACACGTTTCGTGTGCAGGTCGGAAACCCCCGGGTTCTACCGGAAACCTGAAATATCCGGGAAAGTGTGCGGCAATTTCTCACACGGAAACTAGGGATTTTGTGCCGTGCCCCCATTTGTCAAATTCTATGCACGTGTCGCAATACTATATTTCTTCCAATCATAGAGGTATAATACCTCCATGCTCTAATAAAGTTACTATTTTTGAGGTTTCAACTCTGAAGTAGGAGCTCTGGGTCGAAGCCAAATTACGGGTGGTGATTTATTCTGGTTTTCTACTGAGAAAAATCGGGACAGTATTTGCGCCGGGCAGCCGGCCATGTACGCGAAATGGTACGCCCAGTATAGCAGCGATCTATTCATGTTTTATGTTTACAATTGTGCAAATTTTTTTTACAGAAATTTGATCACATATGCTTAAAAATATTGTTATACTGATGTTAAAAATATTTTAAGACACTGAATCGCTGGCTGTGATGTGCAGCAGTGTACGTACGCCGCGTAGCGTGCCAGACATTGGCCGTGCAAGCCTATAGAATGCCCCACTTGCGACATAAATTTCTGAGGCTTATCGTGCGCATCGTGCGTATCCACAATTATTCCCATCGTAAACATAGTCACTGGGATCTGAAATGCATACATACAGGATAATTTCCCTTCTTCAGCGGGAGTTTTGTTTATGTTTTGATCGTACACGTCAAACTGCCACGCTGGTCTACGCTGCGCGCTGGTCTCGGCTGCACTTCCGGGTTCCATAAATCGACACCATAAATCGACAAAGAAACAAATATTTCCCCCCAAATTTATATTAATTGTGCACTTTTTCACTAGATGTGGCTATGCAGTCCTGGAAAACAGCGTTTAGTGCATATTTTCAAACAGAAAAATCGCGTCCCCGCGCCCTTCATGTTGCCGCCCGGCGATCTCAGCTGAAGCGAACAACCAATCAGAGACGCGTAACGCGGATACGTCATGCAAGATTTGCATACCGCCCGCCCACCGCTTCTGCTGGCTGCTGCCATGCTAGCTACGCGCCGTACTTGAAATAAATTGACGTGTATCGCCGTATTTCTGGAAATAAATGCCGCGACACGAAGATCTAGCGCTCACTCGGCTTGCACCCAGCGTTCAGCGTCACTCGCGCCATTACCCCCGCCGTCATCCCGCGCCGTCATTGCTGCGCCGTCACCCAACGTTTTTATCGGAACCAGACACCCCTCTGTATGACCCCTTTTGAATGCTAAGACCCAAAACTGCAACCTCCCCATTCCTTAACAACATGGTAAATTCCATTTTCAGCATAACGGGGGTGTCCGGAGCACTTAAAAACCTTTTATTTCGACGCCCATAAACACATATGCAATTAAACAAAAACGTTCTGCATCATCTGCAGCCCAATAGCAATACGTATACCGAACAACAGCCCAATCCGTCCAGCCGATCGCGAGAAACAGCTGCTGACAGAAATGTTTCGAACAATAGTAAAACCTCCTCGCGGAAGGATATCTCCTTCCCCGGAGGTAACAAAACAAAAAAAGATATGCGATGCGGGGGTAAGATAAAAAGCTATTATGGCCTATGTATGGCACATTATTAGAACAGTAATTGATCAAATAGTACTAATGGTATTCAACAACATACAACAATTAATATGATTAGTTAAAAACAATTAATTATTGAGTAAAGCTAATTGATATTGGTATCCCAACACCTTAAATGAACTATAAAGGTTTATTATTTATTAATTAAAACTTTAAGTACAAACTTTATTCAAGTACAAACATGAGCAAACGGATATGAGGGCAATATGTCAATAAAGTTCTTACTTATAACAAAGATGCAGACTTATAACATAAAATGATAAGAGTACAACGAGACAATGGGATTTTATAAGAATTAATAAAATGTCAAATTTTAGGTTCTAACGACGGAGCTCCTAGCTGGCAGGAAATGATCAGCGGCCAGGAATTCACCGTCGTCTTCGACATGCCGTACAACATCCCCAACTTCATCCAGGCCAAGGCGTCCCTGAACGTGGAGTTCAGGCACAACAGGTGGCTGGCCATCCGGGAGGGCTTCAGGCCGCATCTGTACGACGGGCATCGCAACGGCGGCAGCGGCGACGTCACCGGGAACAGGGTACGTACGGACTTATCATGAAAGTTCATCTGTGTTGGTAGTTACGTGTTTTAAAAAAGTTACAAACTTTTGATCCAACACAATAAAGTACTCTGACCTATAGCTTTCGATCAGTCACTCTGGTCTTCCTCAGTAGACTGACCAGACACCTTCGACACAGTGACGTCACTGGGTCAGTCTTCTGAGGAAGACCAGAGTGACTGGTCGAAAGATCTTGGCAAGCCCTTGCTCTAAGTGAGAGAACTTAACTGTGTTGGATCAAAAATTTACAGGCGGGGCAAGGGGAGTGTATTAGCAATCTGTAGCCTATTATTACCCGTAGACTACTAGCCAATGGTCACAGGCGGCCAATAGTTACTGGTGGTTAAAAGCTCCGTTATACTGAACTTTCATAGTGACATCTACTTATCTATCTATCTATCTACCCAAATCTTTCTTCATATTTGGGCGAATACCAAACTTCTGATGTACCGCATGTTTCATTGTTAGTATCTTATCATATCACTAACTGTTTTGCTGTAGCTATTTCATATTATACAATGTGTGTCTTCAATAGATAAGCGTGGGAGGTTTGGTCATGACGTACGACGAGGTTACTGGTCTGCTGACTGTGACGGAAGCGGACTTCGACTCGTCAGCACGGATCATTCCCGACCTGCCTCCCTGGGTGAACGGCCTGACTGTAGCCCGGGCGGAGTACAAGTCACTGCTGCAACAACTCAGCACCCACCAGAGGTAGGCATTCCCTCACCCATAGGCATAGCTCCATACGTACTAGCTTGACTGGGTTTCAACGGTCTGACTGTAGCGCGGGCGGAGTACAAGTCACTGCTGCAACAACTCAGTACCCACCAGAGGTAGGCATTTCCTAACCCATAGCTCCATACTACTGTACTTACTTACTTTGGCCCTTCGCTCCTGCCGGAGCATAGGCCACCGACTATGGCTCTCCACTTCACCTGCATGCCTCTGGGCTGTCTTTCTCAGGTCATACCAGCTGTTTGTTTCTCTCTTTTATCTCCTCCTCAGTATCTCTTCTCCGGCTGTTCTGGGCCGGCCCCTCTTCCCTGTGGATTCCATGCAGAGCCTGGTGTGTGATGTTGGATGGCGGTTTCTTAAGAGTATGGCCTATCCAGCACCATTTCTCTGTAGTATCTGGGATTCCGCTATACTAGCTTGACTGTATTTATGCTAACATGGACCAATTATTGTCAGACTGCGAATTGCCTGTTACCATGGTGTTGGAGGCGGTGATGGCTGGTTTCCATGGTGACAGAGAATTCTGAGCTCCTGTTGGACTTATTTTCATACTGATACTAAACCTGCTGAGCTCTTATTAGTAGTTCTGGGATATCGATTGGGAGTGGTTTCTCGAGATAGCGGAGTATAGCCGCAACAAGCTCTCGGGAGGAAGCCCAATCTACGCCTTACAGCGAGAGATTGTGCAGGACGGGCTAGCTCCATACCATCATACTTTATCCTGATACCCAACACGATTGTGTTATATGATAGAGTTATTTATCGTATTATGATTTCATCGCATTCTTGCCTAACCCAGTGAGACCAGGGGGCACATGCCTTGCAACTTAAAGTGGTCCAACGCTCATCGCATCGACCCGACCGATGGGGGGAAGTGCATCCACTTCACCGCCGCATCGCTCGGTGACATGTACGTGGTGTTCTCCGGCGTCCCCGACAACCACGAGACCTGGGTCTACCTGGAGATTTCTCCTCGCGGTGTGGCGGTCTACAAGGTAAACATTGATGTCTTTTTACGAAATAAAGACTAAGCTTTAACTTCCAACACTAACTAACAAAGTATTTGGACTTACCCCCCAAAATTGGGGAAGTCCCAATACTTACCCCAAAAATTTGGGGAAGTCCCAATACTTTGTTAGTTAGTGTTGGAAGTTAAATCTTAGTTTTTATTTCATAATGACTTGTACCAACACAGATGCAGAATGAGAATCTTATATTGAACCAAGCTTGACAACCAAACATAACGTAGTGCTTGTTAACGAGCTTTATCGCGGCCCAGGTATGACGTAAATCAAACTAACTATCCTAAACTCGAGCAGAGCGCCCTGCACTAGAGAATCACATAAAATAACATGTATAAAAGGAGTGGTCCGATCTCTGTTATTCTTGAGAAAGACAAAGTTGAAACCAGTCGAATTCCGTCTCATCGCTGTCATTTTCCCAACGCTACGATTGATAGAGCAAACTAACGGTTAGATGAAATACGTTTGAACTGGGTGAATGGCTTACCTGTTGTACAGCGTATGCGTCTGGAAGTGACGCAGCTGACACGTGGTGCGGCAGGGCTGGGGTCGGACCTGCTCTACCAGTCCTTCTTCGTGTGCGTCACAGAAGACCTTGCGTCGGGCACAACAACCGTACAGTACGGCAAAACACCCGAGAATGAGGTCAGTTCCCCGAGGGAGGGCGAGTGTCATCTCAATATAATGATCTTCATGTGGGGCTGTTCAAATAAGTGTATAACTCGAGTGCAATCCCGAGCAATGTATATATGTATGATGACTATTTTTAAAATCGAAGATCAATACGTTTTGTCAACGACGTCGTTTCATAAATAAGTTCCTTTTGCATTTGCAATTAGCCCTCGGGCAGGAGTTTGCAACAAACAATCGAATTTATGATAAATGACTAGTTCAACCGTTGAAAAAGATTTTTGACCATGTACACCATTATATTTTCGCCAAACTACTGGATTTCAAAATTATATGAGGTGATCAAACCGTGAAATCTCTAGAATGAAGGCGTTTTACTGCTACCTCATCTATTGTATGTTTTGTTTCCACAAATGCCCCACAGGAAATCGCTAACGTCTGGCTGGACTACCAGTTCAACGAAATTTACAGTCTTCATTACTACGCCTTCGGCGCCGGCACGGAGGAGGCCAAGTTCATGGGAGTAACTCAACTGGAAAAGCTCCCCGATGAGTTCATCATCTGCCAGGAGGGAACGCACAAGGAGAACGGGCACTGCGTGCAGTCGTGCCACCCGGAGTGCGACGGTCAGACACACGCACACAGATATAAATAATACGTAGATATAAATAATAACTAGACCATTTGCAAAACAAAAGCATAATGTTTTCCTTTGCATGATCTGACCCAACAAACTACTGTTCTGTTTATTCTTACTCAATCAAATTTATACATGTGACCAGCCCTTCCAATTCTTGCTACATAATATAATCCGACGCCACAGGGTGTTTGCTACAGCACCAGTTACCATGGTGACAGTCGTCTGGTTCAGGTCATTAACATGAGTTGTTTGGAACAGAAGAAGAAGAAGAGGGGGGGTGAACCGGGCTGCAACAGAGACGCACTTTATATATCATCAAGTATGAGAGAGAGGAATACATTTCACTCCGTATTTCCATGTTTCCAGGCTGCAGGACTACTGGTTCAGACGACCCACGCGACTGCATTGCGTGCCAGAACATGAAAGTGTCGTACCCGCTGATCGGTTCTGCCGTGGGCGACTTTGAGTGCGTGGCAGTCTGTCCTTCTACTATGAGAGTAGTGGCTGGCACCACCAATTGTGAATGTGAGTAGTACTTATGTTTATGTTTATTAGGAATCCCCATTAGTAATACAATGTTTGTTTACTAGTCTTCCTGGAGTCCTTTAACATTACATTTAAAAGATGAAATATAATCAATTACAAAGATAACTTAATGGCTACAATTATATACAACAACATCAGCTTAAAATATAACAGTATAACAATAAAAATCTTAACAGCAATCTACACGTAGGCCTACTTGCTTATATGCACAACAATTAAAGCTAGCTTAAATTACATACTTAAAATACAGTGGAGAGGTCAGAGGTCCCTATTTACACCATTTTTGTTATCACCATGTGTCGAGACGCATGTGGTTGTACTTATGATATTGACATGTGAAAACCCGTACATTGTACATACAGGACAATGCCAGAACGCTAGAAACCCTAACCTAGAAATACTTCCATAGGAATGGTGCCCCCCCCCCATACACTGAAAGGTGTGGTAAGGATTTTAATTTTTTTATAAACATTCCTTTGACAGGTATAAAGCGTATGCATCAGGATACTGCTGAGGGTGTGTTGCACGTGTGCGTGGCGACCTGTCCTCTCACCCACTATGACGACAGCGGCATCTGCAGGGGTACGTGTTTGTTTGGTTATGTGTGTGTTTGTGTGTGTACGTACGTACGTGCGTGTGTGTGCGTGTGCGTGTGTATGTGTGTGCGGGTATATTTATGTGTGTGTGTGCGCGCGTGTGTATGTGTGCGCGCGTGTATGTGTGTGTGTGCATGTGTGTGTTTGTGTGTGTGTACGTATGTGTGTGTGTGTGTGTGTGTGCGTGTGTGAGTGCGTGTATGTGTGTGGGTGTGCGTGTGTATGCGTGCGTGCGTGCGTGCGTGCGTGCGTGTGCGTGCGTACGTGCGTATGTGCGCGTGCATATGTGCTTGTGTGTGTATGCGTGTGTGTATGTATGTGTGTGCGTGAATGTGCGTGCGTGCGCGGGCGTGTGTGCGTGTGTGTGTGTGTGTGCGCGCGTCTGTACTCTGAGCTTGGATTAAAATTTCCAAGTCAACATGTCAACATGTTCATGATGTTTTTTCAAAGAGACAGACATGTTTCACACTTCATCATCACATCTTCATGTTTCAGAGTGCAGCAGCTTCTGCCACGACGTGAGTGGTGACGGGGACAATGTGTGCACCGGGCCTGCGCCCGAACAGTGCCACACGTGCATCTACGTGGCGAACGACGGGAGCTGCACGTCCGGCTGTGACCCCGGCGAGAAGGCCGTTCCCGACGCGTCGGGCGACACCTTCACCTGCCAACCCTGCCGGCCCGGCTACAGGTGCGTCAACGGAGACGAGCTGGAGGAGATCTGCCCGGCGGGAACCTACAGTAACACGGAGGTGTGTAGTGTAGCGTCCGTATAGCCTGGTTACCAAACCTATTTATATATAGCTCCCGAGTCCTACATCCTCTCCGCAAATAGGATGTAGGACTCGGGAGCTATAATAGGTTTGGTAACCAGGCTAGCGTCCGTAGTCCAGTGGTTAGCTATCCTGCCTCTGGACTAAGAGGTTGGGAGATTGAATCCCGGCATGTACGCTACTGTTAAGGGTCGCTTAGGACGGGACATTAAGCCGTGGTCCACTGTTCATTGTGATTGTCGAAAATAGCTACAATGAACCTGTAAATACCGTACACAGCGTCTTTCCTATCTGTCACGATCAGAGAAGAATAGCTCTTCAATGAGCTAAACTGGTTCGAGATCACTTTCTCACTTTTTCTCTCACTTTTTTAGGGGACGGCCTGCGACCCGTGCGCAGCGGGAGAGTTCAGCGACACCGACGCACAGCCTGTGAGCCGTGTCCAGCGGGAGAATTCAGCACCCAGAGCAGCTCGACCAGCTGCCAGACCTGCCCGGCGGGGCAGTACAGCGGCTCCCCCGGCTCCACGAGCTGCCAGATCTGCCCGGCGGGACAATACAGCGGCTCCCCCGGCTCCACGAGCTGCACCGTCTGCCCGGCAGGACGGTACAGCCCCAGTCCAGGGTCTACGAGCTGCACGATCTGCCCGGCAGACACCTACAGCAGCTCCGCCGGGTCCACTAGCTGCACGCAATGCCCGACTGGGACCGGGAGTGCAGCGGGATCAACTTCCTGCAGCAGTGAGTGGCAATACATCATGTATATGCCTACCTGCCCAAATACATAGACCCCCCCCCCGAACTGATTTCTTGCTCCTCTTCATTTTTTCCCGCCAGACAGCACGGTCCTTCATAATAACCTTTTGTTCTGCAACCTTGAGGGACCATCCAGTGTCATATACTATTCGGTCCCGCCGTCTTTTGAGGGGTCTGGGGTTTATCATGTATATTGGATAACTTTATTGAAACAACAAGAGTACAGCGACTTTCGTAAGGTCCATAACTAAACATACAGACAGACACATGGTTACAAAGATTTGACCTACGTACAAACAAAGCTATGGATGAATAAACTAATACTGCCTGTTCCAAGGAGGTTAAAAAGGTTGAATTTAAAGACCTTCTAACGTCTTAACATTCTTTTACATTCTGATATAACACAGTAAGGGTTATTACAGTCTAGAATCAAGTCTGATTTATAGCTGGCTGCTGAAGAAAGAAGAGAGAAGAAGAAAGAAAGAAGAGCAACACGGAAGATTCGCTCAAATTCATTTTGACTCGGTAGAAAGTGTTTTTATACTTATAGAATGATACATTTGCGCCCATGCAACAGTCTTCCCACAAACGCGTAGCTCGCAAACAATTTCACGCCATATTTGTTCATGTAAGTTTTTATGCCTCCAACAGGTACTGACGAGTGCGCATCCAACCCTTGCACACACGGGACATGCCAAGACCTCACTGACGCATACTCTTGCACTTGCAACACGGGATGGACGGGGGTTAGATGTGACCAAGGTTAGTGCTGAGACCACTTACATATAATCACTTCACTTACCACAGACACGATACACCCGTGTGCACGCACGCACGCACACACATTTTACACACTCAAACAGGAGAGAGAAAGAGGGAGGAAGAACCTACATTGTTCTTGTTTCTTTTGATTTCTGTGTAATTTGATTCTAATAAAGCCCCATAAAATTGTTTACTGATAATGTTAGGATGTATTACTTTATTTCATACTCTTCATCTTCATGTGGTAGGTCGGTATGTTGTATAACAACGTTAACCTGGCAAATCAGGTTTGTATTTTTCTCACCTCTCATCTACCTCAGCGGACTACTCCTGTGGGAATCCCGACCTAATCAGTGGAGACCTCGGTACTATTACCTCCCCTGCTTACCCGAACAACTACAACGACAACGCCCGCTGTTCCTGGACGATAACTGTCAGTACTGGCAAGCGGGCCGCCATCAGGTAAGTCCTTAAAGGGCAGACGATTGTAGTCCCTAGTGAATGCCCTTGAAAATCCTTTTTTTTTTTTGAAAATTTTGGTCCAGTTTGGACACTTTTAGGGGCTAGAAGGAACAGGTAGGGTCTAAACCTTTCAGTTTGGTCCAAATTATGTTCATTTCACCAGTGTAGTGGTCATAATGAGAGACCTGAGTGATGAGGTCTGGCTGCAAAGCGCGGTTGGATACATGAAAAATAGGTCAAAAGTAGGGTTTGTTTATTGTTGTCAGCTATTGTACGAGTTTGAGCTGGTTAACGCCTGCCTTTCTTTCTATATTTAAAAAGTAGACCCTTGTGTCTCTCTGGTGCAGAATAATTTTTGCGATTGAAATGTAAGAAAGTACTTTGATGGGGACTTGTTTCATTGTATTTAACCATAGGTTCCTATGGCCAAAGGTAATTGTACTGCAAAACATAGACCGACTATGTGCTCCTGGACATTGCCGAATAAGGCATAATTAAGACCTAATTTGCATAATAACTGCGAGAATACTATGCTTCCTTAGTGGTAAATGATCGGCATTTCATACTTACTTGTGACATGTGTAAGCTAGTTTAAGTTAAGCATCCATATGCATATATTATGTTGATGTGGAGGTAATTTGCATAATTGATGATGAAATGAAACCTTGCCAAAGGAAAGGACTTTCAAACATGAAATACATATATATATATCTGAGTTGAGAACGCTATAGATGAAATGCTACATGTTATTGAATCATCACATTTCCATGATCAAGGAGAACAAAGAAAAAAGTCTCTAAAATATTTCATGTCGTTTCCGAATCCTTGTTTGTTACATCATGATGATGCTCAACACTTAACTTCTTGCAGGTTACAGATTGGACTTGAAGAATTGGCAAGCAGAATTCGCCATAAGCACTCTTTTGTTATATCAAGATATGTTTAACATTAACCTCTTGCAGGTTTACAGATATCGACATTGAGTCACAATCCACCTGTAGTTACGACTCCCTGACGGCGTATCAGGGCACATCTGCCAGCGGCACACAGCTTGGCAAATTCTGCGGTTCTTCAGGTCGGTCAGTCCTGTCTGGTACGAGAGAGATGCACCTTGTCTTCACCTCAGACGGTTCAGTAACCCAAGGCGGATTTTCCATTCAGTATGCAGGTACGTAAACAACAATGACCATTGCTCTGCAGAACTCACCCATCTAGTTCCACCACTCAGAAAACTTTCTACTTGGTTCTCCACAAGCTCACACAACTTCACCGTCCAAATTCCTTGTTCGACATCTTTTTACAGTGACAGTTTCTTTCCCCGTACGGCCAAGCTTTGGAATTCCCTCCCTGACAAGTGTTTCCCACCAACCTACAATCTACAGGCTTTCAAATCAAACGTTCACCGCCATCTCATGACATAGCCATGTTTCTCTCATATTTCTAGCTTAATGCCGAGAAGTGGTCGTATAGGCCTGCATTGAACCACTCCGTTAAAATGTCCAACAAACAGTCAGATTGTTCTACTGTTGGAGTGGAGCTGTGGGGAAACTTCGTCACAATCTTTAGCTACAAACTGATGTAAGCAACATGTAGATGTGGTGAACTGCCTTTTCCGATGGATGGAATCCAACACGTGTGAGCGTGTGAGAGAGTCAAGTGCCTAACGCTCGAGTCATTCTACATGCACTAACGTAGTTGCTGGCTCGATTAATGACTGGGCTGATTCGCCATTCTGTAACAACCGGTCTTTCGGTGTGTGGTAGGATTTGGGCTGACTTACGTTTACAACTACAGTTACAG